CTGGGTCAAAACAACCCAATAGCTGGGTTTGTGCCTTTTTAACCCAGCGCTGGGTTATATTTAACCCAGCATTATATCCTGGATTCAGTCCTTTTATCAACTTGTTTTCTTTGAATTAACACAGATTTTGAATTTCCTTTTGGAACTGATTGGTCACAGATCTCAGTGATCTGAACGTACACTCTAAAAAATGCTGGGTTAAATATAACCCAGCATTTTTTAGAGTGTATGTTCAGATCACTGAGATCTGTGACCAATCAGTTCCAAAAGGAAATTCAAAATCTGTGTTAATTCAAAGAAAACAAGTTGATAAAAGGACTGAATCCAGGTAATTAGCACAGTTTTTCTGTCTTTTTAAAAATGATTTGTCATAGTTGTTGAGTGAAAAAAGATTTATTGGTGGCTAATTTTGTCAATGCTAACTCAAAAACCGAGGTCCATACACTCTAAAAAATGCTGGGTTATATTTAACCCAGCATTTTTTAGAGTGTATGGACCTCGGTTTTTGAGTTAGCATTGACAAAATTAGCCACCAATAAATCTTTTTTCACTCAACAACTATGACAAATCATTTTTAAAAAGACAGAAAAACTGTGCTAATTGAAAGAAAACGAGTTTAAAATATTGAATGTAAGATTTGGTTATAATACAGACAGTATAATGAGAGATTTACAAGCAGGTCAGTCATTTCTGACAAGAACGCAATGAGTTTCAGATTTTCAACACTGCACAAAGGTTAAAATAAGACAAAACAAGCATGAAAATAAGATGAACCAATTGAAAATCAATCTGTCAACAAGTGTTTTTTTTTTTGTTTGTTTTTTGGAAGAACCTTACAGTCTTGGATAATACATCTAAAAGGATCAGAACCACAGCTTTGCCTCATACATTTTGCTTCATGAGCTCGAATCATGTTATAAAAATATTTCATGCTGGCCCATTTTCATCTTCAGCTTGGTATTTCTTCACAATGAGGCACAAAATCACTTTCCAGAACCTTCACCCTCTCTGCTCCTCTCTGGTGGAAAGAGCTGCCAACCTCCAAACCTCCTGAAACCATTACAGCTTTTAAGAAGCAGCTGAAAACACACTCCACAACCCTAAACCAATGCACTTGCAAACCACTTTCTCTCCTCTGAATTTCTCCTCTGCTCTAGCTTGTGTCCTAATCTAGCTTTCTAATAAATGTGCCATTGCATACTGCAAATACTGCTCACTCTGAGACAAATTGCTTATGTTTCTCTGTTGTCAGTCACTTTGGATAAAGGCTTCTGGGAAATGCACAAATGCAAATGTAACTGTAATTTAACTATTTATATTAAGCAGAGTCATTCTGCCATCTGCAGAACCAGAATCCTATGAGGGACATCAACACCAAGAAGCTAGCCGGCGTGGGAGATGTGTGTGAATCCATGAAACAGCAGCTACTCCTCCTAGTGGAATGGGCGAAGCGCATCCCTGAGTTCTGTGTGCTCTCGGTGGATGACAGGGTAGGCCTGTTCCTGACCGTGTTTGTTTGATCACGAGCTGTCACTTCCTGTCTATGAGTGTGTTGATGTGTGTGTGTGTGTTTGGGTGTGTGTGTGTGTGTGTGCGTGCGTGCGTGTGTGTGTGTGTGTGCAGGTGGCACTGTTAAGAGCTCACTCCGCTGAGCACCTCATCTTAGGGGTGGCACGACGTTCACTTCCCTACAATGGCATCATCCTGCTGGGTGAGCGGGTGGCTGGGTTGGGTTCACTTGAAAACAGGCCATTCCTGTTTGCACTACATTTTTCATGTCCCAATCATATTGTATGCATTAGATAAATGATTCAAATACATAAATTAAACTTACTATTAAAAAAAATGGAAATCATATTAGTTAGTTTTTACCTCAAAAACTAGTGAACTATTCTTGAAAGGTGACTGTATGATGCAGCTGACCAATGAAATTGGCTGCAAAGGGGGATTTGCACTTACCAGGAAATAAATTGCACAGTTGGAATTAGAAATTAATTGTGCACAGGAAGTTGAATTGGAATTACATGAAGTGAAATTTGTTTAGTTGAAAAAAGGTTTTTTTTTTTGTTAGTTTTGCTTTTAACTCATTTAAAATTAAAATGAAATAAAGTAAAATAAATGTGATATTTTATTATGAATAAATAAAAACATTTAATATTTTATTTCAGCTAGTTGCCAATTAGTTTATTTAGTTTAACTTGATGTACTAAAATAACCGAAATAAAAAATATATGCAATTTAATTACAATTTAAATTAATAAATGTATATATTTTAAATATTTATATATTTTAAAATAAAAACACACAGCAAAATTATGAAAACTTCAACTAAAATTTAAATGAAAACAAAAAATACTAATAATTTAAAATATTAAACAAAAAAAAACTATAATAGTATCTTAATGATACTAAAATAACATTGATTTCGAGACTTCATTTACACCCATTCATTTACATTGGCATCTTGTTCACTTTATTGTCACTGTATAAATGCTATAAAATTTACAATTGATAAATTTTAAGTACCTGCAATTCATACAAATACTTGCTTTAAAAAAAATTTTTTTTTTTTTTAAGTTACAGAGCTCACAAGGTATTGACTCGAAAGTTGCAACCTTAATGTGAGCATGATTTGTCATTATACCGTGTTTGTACAGGAAACGACTTCATCATTCCTGTTCGAGGCACCGAGCAGGAGATGTCCAAGGTAGCCACTCGTATCCTGGAAGAGCTGGTGAGACCGCTGAAAGAGCTGAACATCACAGACACTGAATTTGTCTGTCTCAAAACCATTGTCTTCTTCGCCCCAGGTTAGTCAGGGATCATTGCTGTGCTCCCAGTCAAACACACTGTCCGTGCCAGGAGCGTCTGCACTTGTTCCTGGCACTCTTTGGTTGTACTGTCTCGGTTTCATGATGTTTTATGGGGATCTATTAATATCTGGGGCGTGCTGGTGAGGATTGTTGAGTTATAGACTTTCCTGCCTGTTGGCCTGGAGGTCTGATTATAAGAGTGGAGCCAGGTTGGTCAGTAAGATTTGCTTTGTTTAATTTATTTTGGTTTTAGCAGAGGTTGCCATTTTTGTACCCATGTGCTACGATCTAACATGAAAAACTAAAATGTAAAATATTACGGGTTTTTCTCTTTTTTTGGAAGTATTCAACAATATATTTTTTAATATGTTTTTCACAAATAAATATATTTTTATTTTTATATATATATTGTCTGTAATGTGTGCAGAAATAACACGTGAACATTGCACAAAAAAAAAATAATTATTATTATTTAATCATTATAAATCTATGATTTTTGATTCTGGCATATGGAGATAGAAACTACATATATTTCAATATTATATTATAATTTTAAAAATATATTTAATTGAGCTTTACTGTTTACAACAAATATTTAGCATATATTACAAACATATTTTGGCCATTTTTTCTGTAATTTAAACAAAATACATTTTGCAAATTATTTTATACAGTATGTGTTACCTGTGTAAATAATTTCCATCCTGCTACCTTACAAAAGCCTTAATGACATTCTTAACCAGGAAGTGACCATCATTTAAAAAAAAAATGGTGTAGAAACCATTTTCACTCTGAAATTGATAGTAAATTTAACAAACGTTTTAAAGTACAAAAAACTTAAATACTATTTTCTTCTAAAACATGCTGCAATTTTACTTTAAACATTTTTTAAATCTTTTTTTTTTTACAGTGCACGGGAAAAAAAACTGTACAAAAGTGTTGGACAAAATTCAGAACTGAAGAACTGACTTACTTTCAATTCTTGATTTGGAATTTTCCCCCCAAACCATTTGCAGCTGTCTGTCCAAAGAGTTTAATGATCTGTCTGTTGCTTATTCATATATACATTTTCGCAGAAATACAGACAGACATGCACATATAAATCTTGATAGATCTTGATTATCAAATCCATGCACTAAATGACGAATGCCGTCTCAGCTAATCTTGATCCATGTCTCAGTGGACTCTCAGTGTCACTGAACCCAGTGTGTGTTTCAGACTGTCCTGGACTGCAGTGCTCTCAGGCAGTGCGCCGACTGCGATTCCAGGCCCAGGTGCTGCTGGATGAGGCCACGAGCGAGCAGCGAGGCCGGTTTGGGGAGCTGTTGTTGTTGCTGACCACACTCCAGAGTGTGGCCTGGCAGATGGTGGAGCAGCTGCAGCTGATGCGTCTCCTGGGCAAAGCCAGTGTGGACAGCCTGCTGTTGGAGATGCTCCTGGGAGAAGAAGCAAGCAGAGGATCTGAAGCACTGCCAGCCTCAGGTATAAAACTATGCCAAAATCACAAACGAGATCTCAATTATTCCTCCTAGCCATCCGTGAGCTTAAATGGAGATCAGATTAAAACATTTGCTGAAGTCTCATGCTTCTCAGATTTTTCTCCTGACAAAATCTTACATGTGTCTCCAGTAAAAAAAGATCTCAACAATGTCACAGACTCTGGTCAGATTGCCAAGATATTAAAGTCTGCAATTCAATATCAAAGATCTCATCAAGAACCCATTTCTCATCATATGCTTTCAAGAAGTGCACTTAATTGTAGGCCAATTACATGCTCACTTGTAGTATACTTCAAATCTTAAGCTTATACATTTTTAAACTTACTGAACTTGCAGACAATGTTAATTTATATAATTTATTATAAATGTTAATTTAGTTAATGTTAATTTTAGCAGTTAACATGCAATTGTGTCCGAAAACATTATAGTTAATCTGCACTCAAGTATATTCTTTTAAAGTATATTATTTGCATAAGAACTCTTTTTAAAAGCTCTATACACTGAAAAAAAGGATACTAATTTTTTAAGGTAAGTGGTTGCAAACAATTTATTTTAGCTACATTTAAAAAAAAATGTTGAAAGTTAGTCAACTAAATTTGTTTATTTAAATGTAGCTAAAATAAACTGATTGCAACCACTTACCTTAAAAAAATTTAATAAATTCAATTAATGTTTTTTTTTTCCCAGTGCACTTTATATTCATAGTGTATGTCAAAAATAGTTTCTCCTCTATGTTTATTTTTTCACAAGGAATTTTAGGAGGAACATATGAGACAAAATTCGATCAAAAGTCTAAGATAGCTGAGAATTCAATAAACTCTCCTGAACTATAAAATGTTCCTCTGGGTTGCCATATACTGCTGATTTAGGATCAGTATATAAACTCTTGGATTTAGATGAGCAGTGTTGGTCCAGAGACATAGCATATAAACTTCAGTGAACTCAGAGCTGGTTAAGATTCCATAGGAGATCTCAGTCCAGAGTCCATCTGTCTCAGTCTAAGCTCTCGGGCTTTAGATAAGACGCACCATTAGTTCTCTGAGGGAATGTGGGCTCTTTCTGACTTACCTGCAGTTAAAGTATGAACAGGTTGGAAATGGAATAAAACAGTAACTTTTTTTTTTTTTGCCTTTCTGTAGAGTCAAATCCTGAGCCACTTATATTCACCACAGCTACAGAGTCTGTCCTCTCCAGAGGAATACTGACGGAGCATATCCCAATGCCTAACTTCACATCCGTGATCCTTCCTGTACCCTCCTGTGAGTATCTCAAGCACAGGTAGTCCAGCTGTCAGTCCTATAGAGTTTAAAGGGATAGTTCACCCAAGAAATCAACATTCTATGTCGTATCAACCGCATAAGACTTTTTCTACCTCCATGTCCATGCTGCTGTTTTCCACACGATGAAAGCAGTTACCAGGAGCTTCTCCCAAACAGTAAAATTAAACATCATGCTGTAAACAAATATTTTTTAGAAGATGTTCCATAGATAAAACAAAGATCACTGGAGTACATTTTACAAGAAAATACCATTTCAGAGTAGGGTTGTGCCGATAGACGTTAGTATAGTATAGCATTGTGTATCGACGATAGAGATATCGCCTGTGGCTGATGCCTTTGACGAAAGCAAGACGATTATTATATTTTTATTATTATTGTTATCAGGCTAGTATTATTATCTAATTAATATTAGGGCTTATTTGTTCCATCATAATTCTTTTTCCGGGTTTTTACAGTGTTGCGTGTTATTTAAAGCAATAAGCCCCAAGAAGCCGTGGTTTACAGTTAATTTATAACAGCTAAAGGGCGTTGTTAGGTACGACGCGAAGCGGAGATGCGAAACCCCCTTAGCTGTTATAAATTCACTGTAAACCACGGCTTCACGGGGCTTATTGCTTTTATAAAACGGTTATTCCATATACATCTGCTTTGCGTCGTACCTAACAACGCCCTTTTGCTGTTATAAATTCACTGTAAACCATGGCTTCACGGGGCTTATTGCTTTTATAACACGGTATGAACCGGTATACTGCCCAGCACTAACACAAATGTAAACAAACGTGTATGTTTGTAATGTAATTTACAACAGCTTCGAACTTGGCTCAACCAATCAGAATCAAGGACCGGAAACTATCCGTTTTATAAAACCAATCACACACGATTATGTTGAGCTTATGAACGGAATCAGAGGCGTTCAGATGAGTCATCGCTGAAACACCAGAATTTTGTTGTTCACTGCTTACTGGCAGATTCTCTCATCATAAACAGCAAAGTGCAGATATACGTGCGATGCAAGTAGCCTATAAAAGATTTATTAATTATACAGTGTAGACGGCTTCACTGATTATAACGCGAGTCGGTGTAAATGTTCTTCGCGTTTATGTAGCTGCTGTTTGAATAACTGAGGAAATGTAAGCATTATAATTAGTAACTTAGGCCTACAGTGTTTTTATTAAATTGTGATCATGTTAAATATAAGTTCAGTCATATTAAAAATATTTTATGACATCCATATGCTACTTGAATAAAAAGATAGATTACACTAACACTAGGCTGCTTTTAGCCGTACCATGGAGTTGGTTCACTCTCCAGCTATGAAACTAAGAGTAAATAATTAAATACATTAGCGCAATAATATCATTATTGGCGATCTCACGGGCTGAGAGTCATCGCTGAAACACCAGAGTTTTGTTGTTCACTGCTTACTGGCAGATTCTCTCATCATAAACAACAAAGTGCAGATATACGTGCGATGCAAGTAGCCTATAAAAGATTTATTAATTATATAGTGTAGACGGCTTCACTGATTATAACGCGAGTCGGTGTAAATGTTCTTCGCGTTTATGTAGCTGCTGTTTGAATAACTGAGGAAATGTAAGCATTATAATTAGTAACTTAGGCCTACAGTGTTTTTATTAAATTGTGATCATGTTAAATATAAGTTCAGTCATATTAAAAATATTTTATGACATCCATATGCTACTTGAATAAAAAGATAGATTACACTAACACTAGGCTGCTTTTAGCCGTACCATGGAGTTGGTTCACTCTCCAGCTATGAAACTAAGAGTAAATAATTAAATACATTAGCGCAATAATATCATTATTGGCGATCTCACGGGCTGACGATAGGACGATATAATTATGGAGCATACTGCCCAACACTATTGAAGAAGAGTATACTTTATGTAATTGTTTGTGAAATTCACTAGCAATTTCTGAGTGAAAATTGTTTTAAAGTAAATCCTACACAAGATGTTTTTCAGTGTAAGAAAAGTGCCTGCTTTTCTTACAGTGCATAAAGATAACCCATATGACCCATGACCTATATTCCAAGTGATTTAAAGACATTTGATAAGTATAAGGAAGTATAAGGCTTTAAAAAGCTGGAATCTTTAACTATTAATGATAGTTTTCCATAGGCCTAAATATAGTAATATATATACTAGATTTTTTTTGTTTGTTTTTTTTGTACTGATGGAATTCTAATTTATAGGCACATATTCTACTGTCTTACATTATTTATTAACTTCAATTAAATTCAAATTTATTTGCATGGAATTTGTGGCTTGTTTCTGCCACAAAATAAAAAATTAATTAATTAATTAAATTAAAAAGGTGATTGCAACTTTTTATCTCACACTTCAGGCTTTTTATATCTCACAGTTAAAAAAATTTATCAGAATTCTGAATTTACTTCTCTCTATCTTTACTTTTTTTTTCTTGGAATTCCGAGTTTACATCTTGTAATTCTGTTTTCTGTTTCCTCCACATACGTTTAAAAAATGAATTGCAACTTTTTTCTCATTATTGCAAGTTAACATCTCGCAATTCTGACTTTTTTCTCAAAATTGTTTATATTTCAAGTCGGTATTTTTAGATAAAAGGTCATTTTTGAATGTATTTATTTTTTGCATGGCAGAAACAAGCTGCGTTATATTTGCATCGCACTTTTCACAATACATAGTTTCAAAGCATTTTCAGTTCAATATTACTTCATTAGGTATATAGCCTATTGGATTATTAATGTCACTTTTGTCATTCTGATCTTTTGTATGCAGCAGCTTTGTCTGAAGATCCCCTGCTACCCACACACACCGGGCCTGAGGTCTTCACACATGGACAAGCAGCAGACATGCCAAGAGAAATGTCCAACAGTCTCGCCATGCCAACTGTCCACACGTGCCTTTAACCACATGTATAAAGGTCCTCAGTTAAACAGACATGAATAACTTTATATACTTATGAACTCTACTGATAAACACATATAACTGAGGGCAAGGAGTCATTATATTTTACATACTGTATAGTGAGTAGGATCATGCATAATATTAGTGTTAAAATCTAACAGTGTTAAAATTTTAATGTGAGTGAAAAATTAACACAATAAACGGTCTCCAAGCAGTATATAAATATTTTGTATGGAGAACACTGGTAAATGATTGTCTAATTTATTGGATGGTGACATGGCAGGGCGCATGCATAAACATTACAGTTCAACAACTCTCATGGGTTCATGATTCAATCAGATACCAGATGTCAAACACATGAGGGTTGGTCTGCCGTATATGTAGAAAAATGTATGCCTGATTTTTTCCCACTTGAATATATCATAAGAGATTTTCTCTAGGCCTTAAATATCATTGTTTTGTTATCAGATCATACACTGTAAAAATAGATAATACTATTTCAGTTTTTGTACTTGAAAATGTCATTTAATTCAGTGTATTACTTGCCATTTCTTTGTAATTATTTGGGAAATTTACTAGCAATGTCAGTGAAAATTGTTTCAAAGAAAAAACCACCAAATTGTTCAGTCTATCATATGTTTGTTTCTGTGACTTTTTTTTTTTTTAATGCATATTTTGCCGTTTACGCTCATGTTAAGATTGTTTTTAGTGATTATCGGGTCTCTCTTGAATCAAGTCATTTGGAAAGTGAATTAGAATTTAATTTAAATTGTTTAGAAAGGAACACAGCTACCCTTACGAAAAAGAAGTTTATTCAAGTGTGCTATTAGTATACTTCTTTTAAACTAAAAATAGGAAAGTATACTTTTAGTCTACTTTTTATGTACTTCTCAGAAATGGGCTTTATGTACTTCTCAGAAATATACTTACTAAAATAAACTTGAAGTATACTACTTTTTGGTAAGGCTATGACGAGGCAGATTAGAATAAATAGACCAATACATTTGGAAAAATGTTCACCAGAGGGCGCCAAATGCTTATTATTACCCAAGATGGGCAACACTTTTTCCCATGCCAAGAATTGTTATTCTTTCATATTATTTGACTTATTTCTCCATAAATATACATTTAGAGCGAGTCATAATAGAACAAACTGTGAAGAGAAATAATCCCATACAAGCAAAACCTTACTTACAAAAACTGTACAATGAGGACAAAACTAATCTGAACATGTGAAGCACTTTTAAGTAGTTTTATTTAGATTATCATTGCAAAGATGCATTGTACTATCGCCGAACTCAGATAGAATGAATATTATCGTTTAAATAACCATGTATGAAGTTATCGCAATGTTTTGTGTTTAAAGGGATAGTCTACCCAAAAAAATCAAATTCTGTCATCGTTTACTCACCCGCATGTCATTTCAAAACTGTATTTATTTCTTCCACTGAACACAAATAAAGCTATTTTGAAGAATGTTGGTGACCAGGTCCCATCGTTTTTTGTCATGGACGTCAATTGGACCCTAAACTATTTGTTTACCAACATTCTTTAAAATAGCTTCTTTTGTGTTTCAAAAAGAAATGCATACAGGTTTGGAATGACATGAGGGTGATGTTTTGGGTGGACTGTTCCTTTAAGAGCCTCGCTCTTGATTTCTCCCTCCCTCAGTAGGTAAGAAACAAGTTAAAGTTAGGTCAGGTCAGGCGTTCAGGAGGGTTAGTCTGACTCATCAGCAGCAGAGGGGTGGCTATACATCAATAAAAAGATGGAACAAGAAATATTTGCCCCCCTGGCAACAGTAGCCACGACGAGAGGATCTGTCCAAATAACTAAGAACTACAGTTGTTAACATGTTCAATAGGGCCTCTTTTTTGTCAAACCAGTGATTTCATAAACATACACACTTTCAAAACTAATCATAGCTAATGCATGAGTAATGCTTTAATTGAGCCAAATTCAATACAATGTTCTCCTCACCTGTGAAGACATGTCAACTGCCACCGTGTTACTATGGTATTGCCATAGGCATTGTGAATTTGATGCATTAATGCAATAACAGAAAGACGGAAATCATAACAGAATAACATTTTTACTCCGTAAATTACCAGAAAAAGTATTTCATCACAGCAGTAAGTAGGTCACATATTTTGTCAGTGAGTGCAAAAAAAACCTGTTAAGAGTGTTCAGGTCCAGTTCAGATTCAAAAGAAAATCATTCATTTTATGTTTTAAGGGCCTTCAGAAAGTCAGATTGGAAAAAGATCTACTTCTGAATGGCTGTAAATAAAGTACTTGCAGTGATGACGTATTTTTGTAGTTCACATCACAAAGGTTCCCTTGACAAAAACCCAATCGGGTTTTTCCATTGGCATTTGTTATAATAGTTTTCAAGACTGTGATTATAAACATGGTGAGGCTGTGAAAGTGACTAGTGATTAGATGAGTTTACCTATTTAACACCCCCACTGTAGTCCCATTTAGACACTTGTTAGCAACCTTTTTCAAGACAAGTAAAACCTTTTTAAAAATCACAAGGGGGTGTTAGCAGTGTTGGGGAAAGTTACTTTTAAAAGTAATGCATTACAATATTGCGTTACTCCATAAAAAAGTAACTAATTACGTTACTTCGTTACTTTTTTATGGAAAGTAATGCGTTACGTTACTTTTGCATTACTTTTTAAATCTGGACAGGGCTTGCTTGTTTGTTTTTACAATAAAACAGTTATATTTTTGGCAAATATAAAAGCCTTTTCACACCAAAAGTGAAATGAATAAGCCTCAGGCTGAAGGCTTGCAAGTAACTTTACGTCCGTACAGTAGAATGCAGAAGAAGAAATTTCAACACACTTCAGCAATAAAAAAAGACACAAATTTGTGCTTATTAGTATGGTTGAACTGGATCATCGAAGGTCAGAAGCAAAGACATTGGTTAATAGAATGGGATTAAATACATAAAGGATATTTGTGTTGTTTAACATTTAATTATTGCAGGTTTGCGTCATATTCTGAGTTGCATTATTTTTATTAATTTTGAGGAATACTGAATCTGTGTTTTGTTTTGTTT